CTTCACCGGGTGTTGATGCATGGTAGTACAGTATCTGGCATCCAGTAGGCCCTCACTAAGTGTTTGAAAAATAACAATAACAATATAGATAGCTCTGATTATCAGGTTAGTTGCTTTCTATTCGTTGAGCCTAACATGAACAGTGATACAAATTGGAAACCAGGGTGTGTGTGTGAAATCAAATGGCAAATAGAGTCTTTTTAAGTATAAGGGAAAAATTGCACTGTGCGAGAGAGAAGAGAGGGTAACCAGACAGTGACTGCACCTCTCCCACTACTGTCCTAGGACGGCAAAGTGCCACTGGCCTCACTGCTGTGCGCGGTGCCCCTCCCCGTGACTCGGGAGCTGTGGCATTCCTGTGGCATTCCCACATTCACGCTCGGCACGTGCTTCCGGGTCCGCGGATCGGGCTGGGGTGTGACTCCCTTTTCTGAGAAATGTTTCCCCAATGTCGGGTCATGCCCTGTGACACTCTAGGTTTCTCTCAACTTGATTGGGCTAGAGAAACGCTCGGAGGATTTCCTGATCCAGGCGAGCCACAGGGTGGGGACCGATCCTTCCCAGCCCGAGGTTCTCACTCAGGACTCCGAAGTCCTCAGGCCGGGATCGTGGCCTGCCGTGCTGCACTGTCAGTGGCCTACGGGCCGCACTTCGTGTCACTGGGCCCTGTGGTCAGGAGACCTGTGCTCGCACTGCTGCATCACGGAGGGACAGTGTTTCCAGAAATTCGAAGCGGCTCCCTGCAGCAGGGAGGTTCCTGGGTGGGAAGGTCTCACCAGTGCTTAAGTTTTGCACTATTCTTGATGAACCAAAATATTCTTTTCTCAAATATATTTGGAAACTATTGAGTTAAAGTTATTGGGTCTTTAAATAACATTTCCCACAAAAAGAACCAGAATTCATTCAGAAAATGGGGCTGGGGTAGGAAACATAGAAGTGGAGCCCAACGCATTTGTGTCGTTAGAACGGAAGTGCTTAGAAATAAAACACAGTGGGAACATGGCAGAGTGACAGAGGAATCCTTTTGAAGGCTGTCCTGCTAGCCAATCTGGAACAGTTGGCTCATCCAAATAAACGACATTAGTAATGAATATAATAAGGGATGGAATAAGATAACAAAACAGTATAGATAAGTTTGAATAGATACAAATAAGGAATACAGAAATACACTGTGGCAAATGGGAAGTTATTCCTATATGAGAATGTCACTGATGAACATAGAAGAACCAGAGGGGCTAGAAAGTCACCAGTAGGTGTAAGAACCAGTGGTGACGTTCGGTTAGGAGCGCATGATTCAGAATATCTCCTTGCAAACTGAACTAGGCGCTCAGGGTGAACACCTTTAACCTTGGCACAATCCTGGAAGCACTCACTGAGTAGACAGCGTGGGCCCACTGGCCTGGCCTGCCCTAGTTGTACCGCCTGAATCCAGTTGTGAGAGTCAGTTCCTCTCACATCTGTCCTCTGCACCTCACATACAGCAGCAGAAAGACACAAAGGCGCAGGTGCCGTTCCCGGTGACATTGTGTCGATTGTGTCCGAGACCCAGAACCAAACCATGATCTGTAATGGACTTATTTGGGCACCTGCCAGAATGTCACAATGGCCTGTGAGTTAGGCAGTAGTATTTATTGCATCAATGTGAAATCTGCTAATTTTAGTAATTACATGATCATTACAAGAAGAATGTCCTTACCTTAGAAATTACACTTGAGTGTGGCATGTTAAAAGGACATATTCTCTCCCGCTTGCTCTCGACCATTGGGGCACATAGAAATCTTGCGGTATGTGTGCATGTGGACTTGGACACATGGGAGTGTAAAAGGGCAAATGAGACAGAGTGTCGATAATAGGTGAGACCGGGTAAAGGATATATAGAACACTTGATGGATCTCTTTGCTGTGGGGTTTTCCAGATCGTTCCTCCTCATTTGCACCAAGTTTCTCTAGCAGAGGGTGGTTATGTAGCAAGCAGATCCTCGTTACTAGAAAGCACACTTTAGGAATGCTGAAGGAAGGGCCCAGGGGATGGCTTTTGAGAATAAATACAGACAGTAGATGCCTACTCGAGGTCCTTGGTAGCTTCTCCTAACCCCTGCCAATAACGTCTTTTCAAAATAGGTTTCCAGCCTGGGTCCACATGTGTCTCATCAGTAGCAGAAGATGCTAGAGTTCATTCCACTCCGCAGAACCTCATCTGATTACTTTTGTGTTTGAGATAGCTTCAGATGTTATCATAATCCAGTAGACCACAACTGGAGAGAAATAGCAAGGAAAACTGATATTTCCGACTTGTATTACTGTTCCCTCTGTGAGATGTATTATTATCCAGGCGGGTGGAGCCTTGACGCCAACAATTTTTCTAAAAATGCATTTCCTTACCTAGTGGTAAATGAAAATGCCCTTGAAGAGGTCTTAAAGTATTTTGTATCACACACCATTCAGGTGATGCATTACACAGTGCCACCCCTGCGCATGGGCTGAGGTATCAAAGCCTTTTGTGAACCTACTTAATTTGCAGACCTGGGTTTTAAAGGGAAAGCGAAGTGTAATTTTCTGAATATACTTGTGTGGAGTTTCTTTCCTGGGTTAGTAGCATTGTACTCAAAGCAGTTTGCCCTGTATTAAACTGTTTTAATCTACCTCTCACGGAATGCCGTTTTCTCAGTGTAAATGCATGATGTCTAAAACTGCCCAAACCTAAAGGCAACACATTTTTTAGAAAATGCCAGAATCAGTGGGAATTCAGAGTCTTGCAAAATTGCTTTCAGTAATAAAATCCTTCAAAAGAACCTCGCTGTCCTTCCCCCTCCACTTAGATGCCTGAATTTCCCCAGGAGTGACCTGACTTTGGCTACCTGAATTACGCTCTAGGAAAGAAATGCAGCTGCGCTCCTCACATCTTTGTTTCTGAGTCAGTCATGAGGACTGGTTACCCTTGACCTCTGCTTACCGACTTCACCTGGTCCTCTTGTCACCCACTCCTCTTTGCCTTCTGGGAGTTTATTGTTCAGTGTCAAACCTTCAACTGCCCCCAGGGAGGTGGTGGTTCAGTGTTACAGAAACTCCCATGATGTCATTTGGGAAGTGGGGAAATGAAGGAGGACCGATGATGGAGGAAATCTGATTCTGGGGGTCATTCTGCGAGACTCAGTGGAACCTCTTCTTGGTAGAAGTGTTAAGAAGTCTGCCTGAGTTAGCCTCAGCATGGCGTGGTGACAGTGGCAGTGTGAGGCCCACAGAGGGGCTTAGTATGTGCGGTGCACTGTGCTGATGTGTTTGCTCCTCACAGCCTCCACTTGGTGGAAAAGCTTGGCTTCTGATGCGCAGAAAATAGCTTGCCTGAGGCCTCGCGGCCAGGTTAGGCTGGAAACTGCATCAGGAGCCCAGATCTGTGGTCTTCCCTGTAGGTGGCTCACAGGGGTGCTCTGGGGTTTGGTGCTGTTTTCTGAATCGTTTAAAATATCAAGGCATTGTGTTCACCCATTCAAATCATATAGTGATTTTAGGTTGAATGTACCATGTTTTGGGGGGGATTATTTATTTTTATTAGTACATATTTGCAATACATGCAGTTTACAGACATCTTGGGGTCACGTACCTCATACAGCTTGCTTTTCTTTAAATACCCTTCCACTTCCCTCCTTCCTCTTCCAAATTTCCTTTCTCCGTTTTCATTCTTGTTGACCTTGTCAATCTTATCTCATATTTATGACATAATATTTACATTCATTGAGGTTTGTATACACCAGTAATGAACTAAACAAGATGGAAGTTATGAAAATACCATTCATGGTAGCTTCAAGAGAAATGAAATTAAAGAAAAAAAAAAGAAAAATGAAATACCTAGGTATTAGCCTAACCAAGGAAGTAAAAGACCGAGCTCTACAAAGAAAACTACAGTATTCTGAAAAAGGAGATTGAAGAGGACGTCAGAAAATGGAAAGATGTCCCCTTCAATATTGTCAAAATGGCCATACTGCCAAAGCTGTTACCAGACTTAATGCAGTCCCAATGGGAATACCAACAGAATACTTCACAGACAGAGAGAAAAACAATCCTAAAATTAACATGGAACCCGAAGAGACCCAGAATAGGAAAAGCAGTTCTGGGCAACAGGAGCAAAGCAGGAGACATCACAGTACCTGACCTCAAGCTCTATTACACAGCAAGAGTAATAAAAGCGGCATGGTACTGGAACCAAAAGAGACATGTGGCTCAGTGGAACAGAACAGAGGATGCCTGTGTTTTGATTGCTGAATAAGAAACTCAAGCCAGTCTAATGTAAGAGGAGGTGTTTAAGGTTGAGATCAGAGCACCTGGAATTTGGACTCTCTGATGTTCAATCTTAGGCAATTTAACATCATGTTCCCAGTGCACTGCTTCCTCACCTCTAGCTGAGCATAATAACCCCTGTGCTATCTTCACAGGACTTAGCAAAAGCGTTAAGTGAAAGAATGTATAGTGTGGCTCTTTGCAAGCTGTAAAATGTAAAGTGTTATTAGTATCATTACCATTACATTTCTTGGTGAATTTACTGAAATATGCCCTTTGGACAAAGCTACTGATACGCTCCTTCAAATTCTCATCATTTGCATGCAGGTTGTTTTGCCCATTTACCATTTTAACATGGGTACTGGATCCCACAAGCTTAGCTTTGTGCTTCAAGTTGTTTAATGCCATTAAAATCTTGCTTCTTAATAGGAAACTTTCACTGGGCCCTGGGTAGTAAGTAATAAGGAAGTACTTGTGTTATTTATTGTAGGGTGGCAGGAATGTTTTTTTGTTACGGAGGAAGATGTGAAGTACATTCTGAAGTACAGGAGGAAAATGACATGTTGTCTGGGGTCTGCTCTAAAATACTTCAGCAAAGCAAAAGTATAGAGAGATGAGGAAATGGCAAGATTTTAGTAAGTGAGGGAATATGGGTGTATTATACTATTTTCTACTTTTGTATAGGTTGAAAATTACCTAATACATTTTTCAATTGTTATTTTACAGATGCAGATTTTCTTTTACAATCCAGATGACTTTGACAGCTTTCAAACTGCAATTTCTGAGAACAGAATAATTGGAGCCATGGCCATATTTTTTCAAGTAAGTTAACAGTGGCTGAAGTTCTTCAACCAGAGAGTTTTCTGAGTATTTTTTTAATTCGCCGAATTGTTCCATGTTTAATGAATGCATCTGTTTTCTAGTTCACACCTGTCTAAATGAAAGATATTTCATATTGTCTAATGTGTGATTTAAAATGTAAATAAGTATGTTTAGAAACATAATGAAAATTTTTGCATGAATTATTCTGGTTTTATTGCTACTTGACTGGTGCACAGATTGAAGAACACATTTATCATCTAAGTTACTTCGCTGCTGAAGCGTTTTTGAACAGGTTCCTTCAGCATATTAAGAGGCTGATGTAAAAAAACGAGATTTTCTTTCAGGCAACTTTAAAATTTGACATCACTTGCTACTAGATTAATAAATAACATCAGTCACTTCTCTGAAGAGACCCCTTTTTTCCCATCTCAGAAATTCCATGGTAACTAAAGTTTTTGTTGCCACTCTTTCGAAGGTAGTGTATTTATGAATTCCTACCCTTGCTTTCTCTTTTAATGTCCTTCAATTGATTAATGCTCAGAGTTTATGTGTTGATTCTGCATATAGAAGCAAAACCTTGCATGCTCCCATAGATAATGCTGTCCATGCTCTTTAATAAGTCAAATCAAAATACAATGGCCGGGGATTTAGCTCAGTGGCACTGCACCTGCCTTGCAAGCACAAGGTCCTAGGTTCAATCCCTGGTAACAAAAAAAAAAAAAAAAATCAATATACAGTAGTGTTGATCAGTGATTGACTTGACCACATGGTCAGTAGGGGACCTGATCTTTTTTTTATGTGGAAGGTAAATTGAGTACTAGGTATGTGATTTGCCTTTTAGCCTTAAAATTTGCCAAAAAGCTACACACATGTATTCATTTAACCAGAGAGTCAGTGTTGAAAAGGAACATTAATTACAGACATCATAGCCTTCCCCATCTGCCTTTTCCAGCTAGCTTCTTCATCACTGGGATGGCAGTATTCTGCCCCGGAGCATGTTAATTTCACTGCCCTTGGAAGTGTGTGACCTGTGATTGACAGATCTGTATCCCTTATCTCTCCCCCTTTACTACCTCTCTCTCCTTTCTTTTCTTGGATAAAGACTCCAGCAGGAGATCGTAGGTGTCAGTGTGCAAAGCCCAATATTATCCCTGGTGTCAGAAACCTTCTGTCATGGAACCAGTTTTCAGTCATGGGGTTCTGTTCTGCTAGTGAGCATGAAATAATTCAATTAGTCCTGACCAACATTTTTAAAATAATGAAATAGAATAACATAAACTAAAAAAACCAATTAGAGAAGTATCAATGTTTATCACACGTAGAAAGGGTAAATTCTAAAGAATGTTTTCATTGTTTATGCACAGTGATGCATACAGGCTGTGTAGTGGTCATGATATAAGGTGCATTACTAACTGTGGGTCATAGTCAGATATTTTGGAGATTGTGTTTATGTGGTATACTGGAGTGAGCTCTTCATTATTCTTCAGTCCATCTCTTTCCCCTGATTACTTTCATGAACCGAAGTAGAGCAAAGTGTTATTAAAAGCTTAATCCCTGGAGTAAAAAATATCTGCTTTTGAATCCCCCCTTGTCTGTCCGACAGCTATGACAAGGTACTTAAACTTTCCAGCCTCAGTTTTTCTGTTTATGAAGTGGGAAAATCAACTAGTTCATCCTGAAGCTTGTATAATTGATTACATGAGTCCCAGGTGGGATGCCTGGTACACAGAGGCACTTAGGAAATATCACATACCAGTGTATCTCTGTCTACCCATTTCTCTGGTGTGGAGACCTCTTATATATGTATCTTCTTTTCATGATCAAAAGCATACTCTGGCGTTGCCTTGTTGGACGATTGGTTAAATTCGGTTTGGACCTCTTCTGCTTCTAAATTGATTTGCCTTTGGCAGCAGTGGCACCACCTACACTCCCTGGAACCAGTGTCCTCTTGCCTGGCTAATCCCTTGTTACCTGCCGCTGCCCTCTTGCAGGTGGTTTTTATGTAGCTGGGCCTCTACTTTCCACCTTCTCTGTCATTTCCTCTGCTGCTCAGAACAATCTTGTCCTGCTATATAGGGTAACTTTCTTATAGGAAAATGAGTTTTCTGAATATTTTTATGAGTATTGGACGAAGTTTATGGCATGCTCTAAGCAAACAATTTCAATTTTTCCAGCTCTATACACTCTTGTTAAAAATAAGACCAATTAGCATCTTGTGCAGGCAAACCAACAAAATACTTCACTGTGGAATCAAGGTTTTGAATTGTAAATTATTTCTAGGACATAAATACTAGTTCACATATGAAAAAATTTACTCTTTTTTCATTTTGTTTGGTCTTTTTCTTAAATTTTGGCTTGCTATCTTATAGAAACAAAACAGAGGGCAGATCATAAAAAAAAAAAAAGAACATTATTTACACAGGAGCTGGATTGAGCTGTTTCCTGTTTTCTGTCAGTCCACATGTGTGTTTATACATTTGAGTTCACACTGTGTCATGCAAGTGAAATAAAAAAGTATTATTTTTATTTTAATTTGGCAATCTACTTAGATCCCGGATTTTGAGATCTTTGTATCTTGAATCTTTCTTTGAGGATGATAAATTTGAGAGTTCGGTATTTCTCTCCAGAATAGAGAAATCTTGAGATCGCTCTCTGAATTTAAGCATGGCCTCTCAACGTTTTGGCTCTGTTCCAGGAGCGGTACTAGTCACTACAGGAAATATAATAAATGGAACTGTCTCCCTGCCTCCTGGCACTGCACTGTCACAATCCCATGTGATAATGGCTGAAAAGAGGTGAACAGATAAACTCCACTTAGAAAGAGGCTGCACTCTGACTTAGTGTTCATCACCCAGGGTGCAAAAGACCACTGACGGACAAGCACATTCCAGGCAAGGCCACCTTTCACGTAGATTTTGGTAATCTTGATGTAGACTTACTCCATAATCAGTAATGATTTCCTTACACTTTCATTTCTTTCATTATTCCTGGGCATCGGTAGCTTGCCTCAGAGTGTGTCTCTTGCTTTGGGTACTGTTGCTGTGCGCTCTGCCTGTGCTGTAACTAGATATGATGAAGTTCCTAGTGTTACCACAACACTACACTAGGTATAAACTTAGCGGGCAGGTGGTTGACAAGGAATCTTTCTTGGCCTAGACTTGAGGTTGCCTGTGCGTGGCTCCATTGTGGCTCATCGGCATGATCCGTTGAACGTGTACAGTGTTTACATTTTTTTCAGTTAAATATGGGGGGTTTTATATCGTAGGTCTTCATCAAGGTCTAGCAGTGTTTGGCTACGTCCTCTGAAAGGGCTGCGCCTTCCCTTGTGAGGCAGTTTTCCCATTTTCCCATCTGTTCATGCCAGCGTGGTCTTAAGATCATGACCTCTGGCATGGACCTCAGTGACTTTGATGGTAGCGCACCTCTTTGGGTGACAGAGCCGAGGATCTTGTCATCGATGGAAGATGACAGGCACATTCTTCCCTGAGCACGCAGCATGAGCACCTTCAAGTGTAGAGATAGAATCATGGCAGCCACACTTGCTGGTCACTCCTTGGCCAGCGACCTGTAGGTGCTGTTTCCTCACGGCCCCCGGTAAGTGGAATTGCTGCCACAGTTTCACAGCACACGGAAGCAATTGTCCGGAAGGAGGGTTCCCATTTTCTAGTCACCCAAGTTACTTTTGAGCTAGCAGCTCTCTGTAAGGATAGGGAACATAGGTTTATTTTAAAAATACAGGTTAGCCGGGGATTTAGCTCAGTGGTTCGGGCGCCTGTGTCACAAGCTCAAGGTCTCGAGTTCGGTCCCCAGTACCAACAAAATAAAAAATAAATAAATAAAGTTTATTTTAAAGGATTTTACATAAAGAAATTTGAAATGAGCAGTTTACAAAGGATACAGGAATTTGTTCTTAAACTGTTCAAGAGAATAAATGCTTGTTTTGTTAATGTGAGTATACAATTAAAATAATTATTTTGTATTTAAAGTAGAACTTCCACTATTAACCTGATTTGAATGCTTGTGAAAATATAAAATACTGAGAGTCACCAAAGTGCTTTTAAAAAATGTTCTGATTCTAATATTTCACATGGGTTATTTGAATAAACAAATAAATATTAAAACTCAAGTTTACATTAAATAGAATCACTGGAATAATTAGACAATTTGTGGAAGAATATTTAGCTTTAAAATATAATTCACAGAATGATTTAATTCCTCCAGTTTAAGTTTGTAAAGAAGAGAGTATCCGTACTCAGAATGACCTTGTTTTGAAGTACACCTATATGTTTTAGACCAAGAATTTTCAGTTGCCACCCTCTGAATTGGGTTCTAATTTTGGTTTTTTCTTGCTTTCCATGTTTCTTACCATTGTTCATATAATCCTTCCCTCCATTTTCCCACCAGGACCAAAATGCTTTCTTACCGTGCAGCCACCCTAATGATTTCAATCTACTGCCTGTAAATTTTGGTATCCCCATTCTATAAGTTTGATGAACTCTTTTCCTGAGGCACATAATTATCGTTGAATTTATAATTCAGGAGGAGGTCTAGTTCATGTCATTATCCTGTTGCCATTTTCCCAGATGCCTAAAATTTCGTGTATATTTCACAGATCCTATGGAAGTTGGGATGTTAAATGCATGATTCTTTTAAGAGCATCTACATTTGGAGACTTTTCTCATGTGACTTTCTCTCCGGCTTCCTTTTTTGCCTGTATTCCTTGTGAATCTTTGCTTCAAACACCAAGATATAAAATTATCCTGTCTGTATTTAGAGGCCCATCAGTATAAGCACATTAAGTTCGGTTCACAAACTTAATTTGTCCCACGATTTTGGAAAAGACAGTCATGTTCGTGTTCGTGGGGGAAAGATGGCCAGGATCATGTTCATCGCCCCATGTAGAGTTTGCAAACAAAGGCAAAATTTTGCCAAATGCTTCTGTTTGCAAACCACATTGTTTGCAAACAAAAGATTCGTGAACTGAGGTACTTCTGCAATTA